CAGGAGCCGGCCCGGAGCAGCGCGGGGGAAGCGGCCTTTGGGCAGGTGAGTGCCGTTCTGCTGTCCGCTCCCTGCCTGGGCTGCTGCTCTGCTTTCTGCTCCTGCCCCCTGTTTGCTGCCCAGCCCGTGCCCGTGCGGTAGAGCGACACGCTGCGTGTTCAGCCCTGGTGGCGGGGCGCGGGGAGTGGGGAGCAGCAGCGGGGGTGGGATCCGTAACTGTTTCGATGGAAAACCTCTCTAAAGAAGTGTTGGTTGCGCTTCATTCGGGACGGCGACGTGGGAAAGGCGTCCCCCACCGCCGGCTTGTAGCCGTGTCCCGTGTGTTTCACCCCCCGAGCCCCCCAGCCGCCCCGTGCTGGAGGAGGACACGCTGAGAAAGCCACCTCCCGGGAGCGACAAGGAGCCCGGCTGGATTTGTGTGCCCAAAGGGAATGGGCTGGATTTGGTTGTTTTTGTTGTGCTTTTTTTTTTAAGGAAAATTTTTCGTGTTCCGCGTCAAATCAGCCGAATCCAGTCCAAATCCGGGTGAGTCGAGAGCCGTATGTGGTCCTGCTACCGGCAAGCATCCTCCACCCCCACCTGGGGCATCACAAGCTCCCAGGTCCTTTGGCGGGCATCCTACGTGCAGGCCCAAGCCCGGAGACTTGCCCCAAGTCTCACTTGCCCTTGGCTATACGGCCGCAGGAGCAAGCTAGGGAGGAGTCCCCCATTTCTGAAAGTCTGAAAATCTGGAATCTGAATCTGAATCTGAAATCTGAAATCTTCCCACTGGAAGTGAAAGTGGGAGGCTGACTGAGCCTTACCTTGGTCAGGGTACTACCGCCTGCCACACTCGTGGTTTTCCCCTGCCAGTAGGAAAACCACCTTGGTGGTCAGGGTATTCCCCCTGGGAATGGGCTGGAAATAAGTCACAAGGCGCTTTCCCTTCTGGAAACCGTGGGCTGTGCTGGGCACCGAAGGGAAGGGGCTTCTCGTGCATCCCTTTCCAGGAGCACGGCAGCGAGGGCAGCTCAGCCCTGGACTGTCAGGAGGAAATGATGGTCGCCTCGTGGGCAGCAAAGCAGCGGTGGGTGGTAGGGAGCCATCCTGCACTGCCTGGGAGGAGCAGACCGGCCCTAGCAGGTCTACCCGTCGGCAGTGTTTGCAATCTTGGAGGAATCTTGGAGGAATCTTAGCGCCCTGGAGCAGTGCAGAGCTGCGTGGCTTGAGGCCACATCACAAAGCCCAGGGGTGACCCCTGGAGGCGGCGGCAGTGTCACCACTGCCCCCACCCACGCAGGGCTCCCTCCGTGGCACTGCTGCTCCTGGAATCCCACATTTCGGAGAGGTGGTGGCCCGGGGAGGAGAAGGAAGGGGGCTTCCTCCCTGGAAGCAGTCAACATCCATGACCAGAGGCTGGCAGGAGGACAGGCCCCCACAGTGCATGTGCCTCATCATCTCAAAAGTGTGCCTTTCAGTTCCTTTAAGCAATCGGAACCAGAAAAGAAGCTGGTGACAAGGGGGAAGCCAGAGCCCTGCACCCAGGCCCCGTCTCAAATCTGACCCGGGGTGGGTGCAAATGTTCTGACTTGACCCTTGCATGGCTCTGATGCTGCAAACTGTAATTCAGGGGTTCAGCTCGTGTGAGCAGCTCCATAGGAACAGCTTAATGAGAGCCCAGCTCAGGGTTTACGGGCATTTGTGTGATCTCGCAGGGCAATATACAGAGAGCTGCCAACTTTTAGGGACCAATCCAGCAAACCTGCTGCAGCTGCGTCTCCATTACTCAGGGCAGCAGGCATTCACTTCCCTCCATGTTGAGATGTCTGTGCTTTCAGGGACTGGGCAGGGGTTGCCGGTGGTTGTTCTCTCTAGTGCTTTCATTCTCAAGGTCTGAAGTCAGCTGCAATCAGAGCAAATCAGGCTTTTCTCTCTGTATAGGCGGTGAGTCACCGCTGTATCTAGGCACTGACACATGGTAAACCAAGAGGCTTTGTGCTGCACAGTCCTTCGGGCCTGCTTGCGTCTTCCCAGGGGCTGGGTGCCTGGACGCGGGTTCCCCTCTTCCCATGTAGTTTCTGGTAGTGCATGTTTTCCAAGGCTGGCCCTTGCCCTGCATACCCGACACAGCGGGGATCTGCTCGGGGTCTCTGGCGGTTACCGTCATGATGGAAACGAATGATGGGAGCAAAGTGCACTGTTGGTGGCTCTGTTCGGCTGCCTTTTCCCAAAATTGTGGAGCCCCGGCCGGAAGTTCGTTTCTATTTCTGATGGTTTGAGGAAGTATCTGTCTCTTCTTTGTGTTTTGCAGAACCAAGTTTCAATTTCGTCTGTGTCACGCTGAGCCATCAGTCGGACCCGTCCGGGCTCCCGATGCACCGCGGCTGCCCTCCTTCCTCTCATCATTCAGAGATCGGCGAGCTCCCATCTGGTAAGAGCCTATTTGGCTGTTGTACCCGAGGCGTCTGCCCGTGGGAAACACCCAGGCTGGGATCTATCGTCCTGCGTCTCAGGGTTTTGATCTTAGTCCCGTGCTGTGTGCTGGGTGAGGGACTAAAATGACAGGATGACGAACGCTTAATGCTATTCAGGTCTAGGAGCGATAAACGGTGGGAGCAGAGTCTGTCTCTCCTTGCAAGATCATTATTCATGTTTAATTAACGGTGGGGGAGGGGTTGCAATAACAACGTTATCGCTCCACGCAGGTGCCAGCTGCGGTCGGCTTCATATCAAGATTTAGGGAGTAATAAAACTCCAGAGTCTAGACTTAGTGCTTGCTGCTTCCTTCCCTTCCATCTCCTTTGCGAGGGAATGTAGCAGGACAGAGTTACCTGGAAAAGCTGTTTGGAAGCTTTGTCTGGGAACCTGAAAATTGCGTGTGTCCGGTCCTGTCTCTTAGCACTTGAGGTTCATTCAACCTGAGGAGAGGTTGCAGCAAGCTCCCACTTTTCCCTTTGTTTGCTCTGTGTGTTTTCTGGCACCGGGCAGATTTGGGTCCATTATTCCTCTGCCGGGGCAGTTGGTTGCTTGTCTTCATGTTTTCCTTGCTGGAAAGATGAGAATAAAGATCCAAAGGGAAGGAGGGAAAAAAGGGGAACTTGCTTAAAGAAGGGAACTTAGAAAAACTTTATGTTGCACAGCTGCAAAGGGAGCCAGGAAATGAGTCACCTACAAGGGGCTGCTGGGTGTGCTGCTGCTGTTGATGTGGTGGTAGTGCGTCCCACCCAAGGGCACCACGCGCCCATGCTGCAGGCATGCTTGGAGGCTGCTGTGCAAAATGGATGGGGCTCTGGAGGATTTTCTCAGCTTGTTTCCCATTCCTGTGGTTTCCACCAGTCTGTCTGCTCTTCCTTGCGGGCTGCTGCTTTGGTTAGAGGCACGTGGGTGAGGACCTGTGATGCTCCCTGTGCAGCTGCCTCTGGACTCTGTCGCCGAAGTGATGGGTGAAAGGTGGGGAGGGAACTGGAAAGACACAGATCAGCTGAACCCGAGGGTCAGAGTGAACATATTGGCTGGGTTACAGCGAAGGGTTATGTGTAGGATAGGGTGGAAACAGGTCCAAGTGGGTCTCCTCCAGGGTGGCCTGGTTGGGCTCCTAATCCCATCCGTGGCACTGATATATGGCGAGCAGAAACAGGGTGACGGCAGGCGTGTTGCAGGGTCAGGGTGACAGCATGGGAATCAGCTCCTGCTTTCCCCAGGAGGGTCCAGAGGGAGGCTTTGCCCAGCATCTGTTGCTTCTGAGGGTGGTGGGGCCAGGGTTGTTCTGCTTATCCGCTGGCAACTCCCAGAGTTAGCAGCATCCCCTGCCCCTTCCCAATGGCTTTGTTCCCACGTGACAGAAGCTCTGCAGCCTCCTGGGCTGGTTTGCAAATGCTTTTTACCCCAGCCTGCCTAGAGGGACTTGGGGAGGCCACGAGGTATCTCCTTGGGTCTAATGGGCAAAGAAGCTGCAGCTCGGGACCTCGAGGGGCTTGCTCCAAAGTGTACGGCAAATCCTGTCCCAGGTGCTCGTGGTTTGCCTGGAGGCTCTAGCTCTCAGTCCGTGCACTCAGTGTCGTGGCTTTAGTTGTGGTCTGGGCCTGCAAGGCCACAGGAGGGAACAGAAGTCCCATGAGATGCCTCACTGGGCTGTTCCAGCAGCTCCGGTCTTGCAGACAGATGGCAGAGCCCTGGTAACATAGCGTGTCTTCATCATTCATCTCGGGCTCCTTCAAGGCCCTACCTGGCCTCATCTCCCCTCACTGCCTCCTCCAGCCGTGTCCCCTCCCTGCAACCTGCTGCCTCTATCCATCGTTCCTGTGTTCTCCATCCCCATCTCCCCGCCTGTCCCTTACCTGTGTTGCTGCATCCTCTTGTGTTGGATCCAGGCAGCAGGGACCAAGTCTTGCTCTTTTGAGTCCTCCCCACCCCAAGCCTCTGTGTGTGGCAAGGATCTGTAAAACCAAGTCCTTCTCCTGACTCTTCTCAGGCTTTTGCTTCTTCTATACAGAATCTGCCTGTCATTGGACATGGGAGGAGCTGGCTTTGGGTTTGCAAAGACCTCTCAAGCCCTCAGAGATGGGGAAAAGCAGGGCCTGACAAGGCTTCTCCAGGGCAGGAAGCATGCTGCCTGCAAGGAGGGACTGGGCAGGCAGAGGTGCCCTAGCCAAAGGGGTTTGAACCCCAGTGATTCGGGTGTACTAGGTAGGACAGCTCCAACCTGAGGCAGTGGGGGTCCTGCAAGCCGAGGCAGAGGGGCATTGGCAGGTCTGTGGGGCCCAGGTTGGCTGGGTGCAAATCAGGACTGCAATGCGACAGCAAATCTGCATGTGGGGGGAGCCCCCAGGCTGCCGCAGGTGTTACGTGCCTGTGCCAAGACCAGACGCAGAGCCCGGGGGTTCCCATGCAGTTGCTCTGAGCGATGTTTCTTGCGTAGGGCCCAGCTCACTTCTGCCACCGCAGTTTTGTTTTCTTACCCCTTTTCTCGTTTCCTGGGTTCTGCAATGAGTCAGGTTTCCAGGGAGAGCTGCCGGCCTGTGCTGCACTTTCATTTCCTCTGGGGTTCGACCCACCAGAGGAACAGCCAGCCCACAAACCCAGGGCTAAGTGCTCCTTGTCAGCATCCTCATTGCTTCATCCCCAGCCTGTCCCAATCCCCGCGGCGTCATCCTCAGGGTTACGAGATCTGGAGGTGATGAAACCAGCAGAGATGGAAGCTGCCTGGGAAGGCTGGAAACATCGGGGAGGGAGCAGGGCTCAAGGGTTGGAGAAGAGAGCCCTGGGGGAGCACACCACGGAGATATTGGTCCAGGTGTTTTTCTTTAGGTGGGGGTGATTTCATACAGTCGTGGACAATGAGGGTTGGAAGGGACTTCAGGAGATCATGTCTAGTCCAACCCCCTGCTCCAAGCAGGACCAGCCCCAACTGCATCATCCCAGCCAAAGTTTTGTATAGTCAGGTCTTCAAAACCTCCAAGGATGGAGACCTCACCACCTCTCTGGGTAACCTGTTCCAGTGCTTTATACCCTCCTACTGAGACAGTTTTCCTTTATATATTACCTCAACTTCCCTTGCTGTAACTTGAGCCCATTCTTCTTGTTCTGCCATCTGCCCCCACTGAGACCAGCCCAGCTCCATCCTCTTTGGGCCCACCCTGCAGGGAGGAGAAGGCTACTATTCAATCCCCCTCAGTCTTCTCTTCTGCAGACTCAATCAGCCCAGTTCCCTCAGCCTCTCCTCGCCAGTCCTGTGCCCCAGCTCCTGAACCATTTTCATTGCCCTCCACTGGACTCTGTCCAATTTGAGGAACCCCAGGGCTTGGCTTGCAGCTACCAGCCCCTGGCCCTTCTAGACGGCCACCTCTTGGCCAAGAATTAGGTACATGCAGAATCCCAGGCCAGGCAGAGACTGCAAGCACCATCTAGTCCGAGCCCCTGCGTAAAAACAGGACGAGCTGGTTCTGACCCATCCCAGACAGTTGCTGTTCTGCCCTCTGCTTGAACGCCTCTAATGAGAGGCTCCACCGCTCCCCTGGGCAGCTGGTTCCCTGCCCTGCAGCGCTGGCAGTGAGGAGACTTCTTCCCTGAGGTCTAATCTCCATCTGCTCTGCTGCCAGTCGCCACTGCAGCGTGCCCTGGCAGGGGAGAACAACTGCTCTCCTTTAAGGCAGCTTTTGGAGCAGGAATCTCAGCTCATCACTTGGCTTGAAGAAGGGTGTTTTCCTCCCTCCTGAGCTGGTCTCTCCACTCTCTGCAAAGCTTGAGGAGTCCTAGGCTTGGCAGCAAGACGCGATCTACTCGCTGACTTTGATAGCAGTCTCCCTCCCTTTGGGTTTGTGCCACTGCTTGAGTGCAAGTGTGCTGCCAGGTTGGATGGCTGTGTGTTTGTGCAGACTGTGCCCCCCATGCTGTGCTCAGCAGGGCATGCGGGGCCCCCTGTTAGCATCCAAATGAGTCCCCTCCCTTGATGCGAGTCAAAAAATCTTCACCCTGAGCTTGGCTATGTCCATCCTTGGCTTCTAGCTGGGATCTCCCATATACCAGGTCTTTCTTTCTGGGAAGCCACACCTCACCCCACATAGGCAGGGTGGAGTTGGTGAGCAGAGTGCGCCCTGCTCACCGGTGAGTCAGTGCATGCAACGATGGGCACCTGTGCTCAGAGGGATGACTTCCCCACTGCTGGTATGGGCAGGGAGAGAACAGCTTTGTCTGGCGGGGAACTGGAAGGAGGAGGTTGCCCTTGGGTCAGGCAGTGGCCCGAGCAGTGCAGGTGGGAGACTGAGCTGGTTAAAGATGGAGCTGGGTGGGTTTCCAGAAGGAGGATCTGACCTAGTGCCAGCGATAGCAGGGGACCAGACGCCACAAGCCAAAAGGTCCCCGTGCTCCTACCTCTCACCTGGCAGCATCCCAAGCTGCTTTATTGAGCATGGCTGACATGGAGCCCACCAAGGTGCACGACCGGGAGCCTCCTGCTAGGGATGGAGTAAGTCCCACCTGTTACTGGATGTGTCGTGGGCTCTCTGCCATCCGCGCACAGCCTTCTTAACTCCAGGCACTTCCTGCAGGTGCCCTTGCCTGGCTTTGCCTCAATCAGTATTTACCTTCCAGGTCAAGTCTTGCTTGTCCCAGCAAGGCTCTTCTCCGCCTCTTTGCATTTCCGCAACTCTATGCAAACAGTCCCTGGCTCGCAGCCGGAGCCAAAAGCTGCCCTCGGGGTTTGCTGTTTGCCCCAGCTTGGGGTTTTCTAGCTGTTGAAATATGAAGCCAGGCTGTGAGCACGTCCAGGGGGTAGTTGGCTCAGGGGTAGCTGGATCCTCTCTCCTGCTGGCTGAGCAGTGTCAGGCATCTGCGTCCTCCTTGAAGCCAGCAGAAGGTGCGTGCGGATGGTCTTTGTGCCTTGTCCTGGCTACTCCAGTCTGCAACACCCAATGCCCTTTGCAATGGGGGCAC